AAGCCAGAAGAGAAACCCACTACTTTGATAAGAGTCAATGGCCCACATCAATGTTTACTGCAGCTCAAGTCACAACAGCTAAGCTAACCTAGGTGCATCGCAACAGATGAATGGATAAAGAGAATGTGATCTCTACATACACACACACACACAGAAAATGGAATATTACATATTACAGAGCCATAAAGAAAATGAAATGATGGCATTTGCCAGTAAATGGGTGCGAACTGGAAACTAGGTTTAAGTGAGCTAAGCCCACCCCCCCCCAAAACAAAGGTTGAATGATTTCTCTGATATAAGGAGGCTGATTCATAGTGGTGCTGGGAGGGGATGCATGGGAGATAAGATGAATTCTAGATAGGACAAAGGGGAGGGAGGCTGGGGAAGGGAAGGGGCAGAGGGGTAAAAAAGATAGTGAAATGAGATGAAGACACAAATGATGTGAATATACTTTGTATACAACCAGAGATATGAAAAACTTGTGCTCTATGTGCATAATATGAATTCTAATGCACTCTGCTGTCATATAAAAAAAAGAGCAAAACTAGGTAGTCTTGGTTAAATTACGTAGGCAGGATGATTTCAAGTTTAAAGCTGGCCTCAGCAACTTGGCTAGACCCTATCTCAAAAGGCGCTCAATTCTTTTTTTTTTTTTTTTTTTAAGAGAGAGAGAGAGAGAGAGAGAGAGAGAGAGAGGAGAGAATTTTTAATATTTTTTTTTTAGTTTTTGGCGGACACAACATCTTTGTTTGTATGTGGTGCTGAGGATCGAACCCGGGCCGCACGCATGCCAGGCGAGCGCACTACCGCTTGAGCCACATCCCCAGCTCGGCGCTCAATTCTTGAACAAGAGTAAAATCATTTTTTAAAAAAACTATTTAGGAAACTGTTGTGTGCTTCACTAGAGAGGACACATCCACCACACCTCAGGGCTGCTTTCTAGATAAACAGAAGTTCCTAGATTGAAATCTTATCAAAATGCCATGATTATAATTTTATATAATTTGAGATATATCTAAATTACAACTACCATGAGGCTGGGGTTATAACTCAGTGGCAGAGCACACGTTATTATATATAAGGCTCTGGGTTCAATCCCTGGCACTAAGGAAAAACTGTAATTTCTGTGACACTCATTCCAAAGTGTACAAATACCATACATAGGTCCTCATTATTCTTAAAAAAATCCACTGAAATGGAAGAATGACAAAGAAGGTCTTATAATTCTGAGAAAGCCTACACTACACAGATATATCAATAGCCTAAGCACTTGATTTGACAGCTATGCCTCCATTTGTATTTTGGTGACAAAACTCAAAATAATCCTGACTTAAATTTGTCTGATTCTGGGAATTTTCAGATATGGTTGGCCCCATTATCCATGAGTTCTGCATCTATGGATTCAAGCAGCCATGGATGGAAAATTTTTGAGGGAAAAAAATGCATTTGTACTAAAAGTGTATAATTTTTTTTCCTTGTCATTATTTAATAACCAATAGTTTAGCAACTATTTACACTGTATTAGGTATAAGTAATCTAGGTACAATTTAAAGTATACAGGAGGTGATATGCCTAGGTTGTACTTGAACATCTGCAGATTTTGATATCCATGAGGTAGGAAGGTGGGAAGGGTCTTGGAACCAATCATTCAGGAATGACAAGGTATGACTGTATGTATATCCAATATAATACCCCCTTTTCATTGCAAAACTTTTGGTGACTCCTTTATCTTTTTAGGCTTTTTTTTTTTTTTTTTTTTTTACTATTTAGGTTAGGTACACAACATGTTAATTAGTCTCTTCCTTTCCTAACTCACTGTGCTGTCTGACCATCTCCATTAAAGGCAATGACCTCAAGTGTTCTCTTCAAATATTTTCCCCTCTTTAAAGGACAGTGTTTTTTTTTTTTTATTAGAGACAACCTTCTTAAGTAAACATCATGCCCACATTCCCCCACCTTCTGAAGAAGTGTTTCTCTAGTACATCTACTAGTATTTTTAAACAGTGCCTCTAACATATGAGGTCCTATCCCCTTCTGCTTTCTCTGAAGGGTTTACTTATCCTATCCATGGTTCAGATGCAGAGATAAGGAGCATAGGATCAGGAAGCCCATTACCAAAATCTGAATCTGGCTTCTGTTATTTAAAACTTGTGTGATTTGGAGAAAATTATTCAAGGTTTTTTGTTGTTGTTATTTCTTTTTCTTTTCTTTTTTGTAGCAGGATTGAACCAGGTACCACTTAACCACTAAGCCATATTCCCGGCACTTTTTAGTTTGAGACAAGGTCTCACTAAGTTGTTTAGGGTCTTGCTAAATTGTTGAGGCTGGCCTTGAATTTACAATCCTCCTGCCTCAGTCTCCCATGTCACTGTGATTACAGGTAAGCACTACCACACCTAGGCTCAAGTTTTCTAATATACAAAAGTGTGAGTGATAACACCACCTAATAAATAGCCATCATGAGGACTAAATGAGATAGTGCGATGTGACTTTTGCAGAATGCCTGGCATAGAAATAGAACTTGTTACTATCATTATTATTAATAAATACCTCTTATCACCATTTATTTAAACATGCTCAAGTCTATGGAGGTGGCTTTTTGCATTTCAATTCTTTCCTTACCCATAGCCTTCTCTTCATGCTTTTTCCCTGTCATTTCTAACCCTCCAGTTGTATTTCTTTTTTTATTTTTATTTTTTGTTATCGTTGTAGATGGACACAATACCTTTATTTTATTTATTTATTTTTACATGGTGCTGAGGATCAAATCCAGTGCCTCACACGTGGCTAGGCAAGTTCTCCATCACTAAGCCACAATCCCAGCCCCACAGTTATATTTCTTACCACTTTGTGAAACTATTTCCAGCAAAGTTATCTCCTTACTAAATACAGCTTTTAGTAAGCATGTCAACTAATTTATATGCAGAGTACAAAACAYTTTTAAAATAACACAGTTGAAATAAAATATACAGGGCTGGGGATGTGGCTCAAGCGGTAGCGCGCTCGCCTGGCATGCGTGCGGCCAGGGTTCGATCCTCAGCACCACATACAAACAAAGATGTTGTGTCAGCCGAAAACTAAAAAATAAATATTAAAAACACTCTCTCTCTCTCTCTCTCTCTAAAAAGAAAAAAGAAAAAAAAAGAAATAAAATATACATAATTATTTTAACACCCACATACCCTCGATTAAAACATAACTTCGAATGTAAAGACTCCCATTTTCTTATACTATTACATCAGAAAATGTAACAAGAAAATAAATCAATGTTCTAAAAAAAAAATCAAAACCCTGTTAAGACACAGAATGTTTTATCTTTTACTAATTTCCTCAGTATAATTTTAGATGGTATACTTTTAAAGGAATATTTGTGAATCATCTTTTTGATCATAAATACAAAGCAAAATGTTACAACTTTTATTTGAAAATTTGGTAATTAAAAAAAATTACAAAGTAAAACCAAAAATACTTGCATAAATTTGCCTCTAAAAATTTTAAGAGCTAAATTAAATGCCACATATAAAACAGATTCTGAGAATAAATAAATATATTTATATAGTAACTAAAGGCTTAAGGAATTTTTATTAAGGAATAAGGAATAAATTTGTGACACGAAAATTTTAATCATAAATTTTGCCTTGTTCATTTTTAGCTTTTAACTTTCAGAATTCAAGTTTTCAATTCACCCAAACTAAAAGAAGTATGGAACAGCAGAAATATTCCCACAAACTGGCATTGAGTAAAAAACCACTATTAATTCTATGAGCACTACTACTCAAAGAATCTTCCTCAGCAACCAATAGGACTACTCTCTCACACTTAGCAGTCCTTTTCCAAAGTTTGTTRTTTAAGAAAAATCTACACTGTAGTTGCTATTATTGGTAGAATTAGAGCCAATTTTTTGGATAGAAAAAAATGGCTAGCTTGTAAAGGAGAAAGTCAACGTAACCACTGGTTATTGCTACCTATGTCCTGATCCAAGTACCCAGCATGGAGATAAGTGTGGGGGACAAAAAAAATTATCAGAAATCCAGGCCAGAGGAAGAAACACTTTTCCCTATTACATACAAAGGTGCATAATAAGCTAGCTTGTGGTTTTGGACCTAAAAAAAAAAAAAAAAGTAAAAAGTAAAAAGTAAAAAGAGGCTGCCAGACAGTACCTGATTGGGGAAGGTAACGAAATTAACTTCCACTTAGTACCTACTTTATACTTTGTAATATTCTTGGTACCTAAAGAAGTATTATTAGATTATTTCCTTTAATATCTTCTTCTCTATCATAAGGGGCATTATTATTCCCCATAATATATATGAGAAAAACTGCAGATTCAACTAAACTGCAAAATAAGAGGAAGGAAAAAAAACTTGCAGACTCAAGTAAATTACCAAATAACTGAATCTGAGTTTTTCTCAGGTCTATCTTTTGTGAAAAAGGTAGAGATGTGTTGAATAACACATGCCAGACCTGGAGTAAGAACGATTTTTCTTGGTGGTGGTGGGGAGCGTGTTCCATAATTTACTTCCTCCTAGGTATTTTCAGGGTAGAATAAATATCTATTAAAAGGTAGGTTAAGAACACCATAGTGTGGAGTCTAATAMTCCCATGAGGTTGGCCATGTATAATAAATTTTATGTGTTCTCCCCCCGCCTTTTTTTAAAAAAGAAATACCATAGCTTATTAAGACCCCAGACATCTGTCTTAGCAGCAGAATAAAACACAATCATGTCATGATTAACAAAACTAGAAATCTGAGATACTCACTTGAGAACCAAAACTTTAGTAATTACTGGCTTACAGTTACTGGCCTCCTTATGGATTAATGCCTAAATGAGGCCATCATACAACACACGTTTTGAAGTAAAATGTCTCTAAATGAAACTGAATAGAAATTAACATCATGATGCTCCAGTTTCCTTAAAAGAATAAGGACTATTTTCAAGATCACATTTTACCAATGTGTAAACATTACTCTTTGTGCTCTAATTAAAGTGTCTCCTCACCTGAGGGCGTGTTCATCAAATTCTGCTGCACTGGTGGACTGGTTGGGGCTGGAACATTCATCTGAGATAGCATGGCCTTCCTGGGGTCTTGCCATGTTGTAGTCTGATCAATGTGACTGAGACAAAACAAACCACTGCATTAGATTAACAAATACAATGCCCTAAACCCAACAAATCCCCTATCAAAACAGAGTAGATATGAGGACTAATAACTAATTATCTCACTGCTCTCACTCTTCCTTTGCAACRTTTCTTCATCAAAATTTGCCTCTTAAATTTTTTTAAGTGTAAGATTTGAAAAAGTTATGCCTGGAATTTTAAGTGAAGAAAAATAATTCCCACCTAGTAGACAATTATTTCTCACTTCTAACTTAAAGATTAAAATGCAATTTGTAAATTAAGCATCTAAAACAGTAATCATATAACTAAAATTCAAGATTCACAAGAGACTTGCCCATTTTCTTCTCCTAGAGCTAAGAATATCAAATAACATATCATTTTTAGGCCTAAAACCCCTTTTTAAAAGTACAACACAACAAAAACAAAACCCTGAAAGTAAAATTATAATAAATACTCCAGTTTTAAAACATAACTGAAAACTTCATCTATAGGTTTTAATTTTCTCCTATGATTTGAGTAACTACGTATGTCCACATAAAATTTTTGTTACTTGCTAAACATTTCCTCCATATTGAGAACTTACTGTAAAATATATGTATCCCCATAAAATTGGGGATGAAAACAGCTAAAGTCTATGAAAGATAAAAACTACAAGACATCTAGCAGAGTGACTGGTACATGGACTTTAAATAAATATTAGTTTTATTTTTCAGCAAAGGTTCATTGTTTCAGTGAAACAAAACTACAAATACTATATAAATAAAACGATCTAAAAATTTATTCCAAATAATAGCCAGAAGAGTGCATGAACTTCTCTTTAGAAACACATTTTCTGGGGCTGGGGTTGTGGCTCAGCAGTAGAGCGCTCAAGTAGCATGGGCAGGGGGGACCCGGGTGCGATCCTCAGCACCACACTAAAAAAAAAAAAAAAAGGCATTGTGTTGTGTCTACCTACACCTAAAAAAATAAATATTAAAAAAAAAAGAAAAAGAAACACATTTTCAATAGCAAAAATTTGGAGGCCAGTAAATGTCCAATGATAGGAGATCAGTTAAATAAATGTTTACATATGATGACTACTGTGCAGCTATTAATATTTTAGAATATTTAACAGCATGAAAAATATTCATAATTCAGCTTTTAAAAGGTTATATAATAGTATGTAAAACATAAAGCTAATTGCTAAAAAGAATACGTAGATACATGCATATGAAAAAAAAACAAAGAAAAGAGTACATGTATATAGTTAAAGCATATAGAAAAAAAACACTAAAATGTTTTATCATATTACAATTCTGCTATGCTGGAGGTGTAGGYCAGCAGTAGAGTGTTGCCTAGCATGTGCGAAGTCCTGCATTCAACATGTCGCACAGCAAAAACAAAATTAAGTAGAAAATAGACCACTTTGCTTTGCTAGGGTTCTCTATTATTAAATAATTACGAACTCCTTATTTTTAAAATGGGAGAGAGAAATAGAGTCATTTTCCAAAAGGAAATCTCAAAATCATTTGTAGTTATTAAAATTTTAAATCTGAGTTCTTACTTCTTGAGTCATCCCATGACAAATAACCAAGAAAATCCTTAAGAAATGACACCCTGTGTCTTAACTATATAGAAATAGAACTGGAATTCTACCTTATCATTAGCATAGTAATAAAGGGTCATTTACTCAGAATAGGCCTTAGATTTGGAGAAGAGTTCTTTTTTTTTTTTTAAATATTTATTTATTTTTTTAGTTCTCGGAGGACACAACATCTTTGTTGGTATGTGGTGCTGAGGATCGAACCCGGGCCGCRCGCATGCCAGACGAGCGCGCTACCGCTTGAGCCACATCCCAGSCGGAGAAGAGTTCTTTTAGCTTCTTAGCAAGCAGAAAAGGGATGAATTAGGAAGGGTCTATATACTTAGGGATGACAATGGTACCTGCCACTTTAAGGTACCATTAACACTGTAAATGTTTTAAGGTACCATTAACACTGTAAATGWTAAGAAAAAATATTTATTTATTTAGCAAAGTATGCAATGTCTCCTCCCAGCACCTCTTTTTTCAGTGTCTGTATCTGTTTTATAGCAGCAGCACTAGCTTTTGTTCAGGTCTAGACAATACAGGACATACTTTATTCAAGTTTTGTTATCTAAACACTTTATTCTAAAAGACCAAGTTTTCATCAAGCTCAGTAAAGGTTTGTTCCTCTTCCCTTTCAATCTTCCATGTGAGCCAAGTCACTTAATCTTAACAAATTGTAGGAACTTTTTTTTTGCTTCAGAAATGGAGAACAAACCTAAGGCCTTGTGTATGCTAGTTAAGCTCTACCCCTGAGCTAAACCCACAGGCTCCATCCTCTTTTTAAGTGAATTTTTTTTTTTTTCAATTCTTCTGAGAGACTCAGAATGACACATCATCATCCTCACTATTGAACTCTAGTCCTAGGGAAGTAAGATTCCAGGTAGCATTTAATGGTTTCCCCCACCAATTTGATGGCAATGACAAAACTGTCACCTTTCCTAAGATCAGAACCCCTATGTGTTGAAGGTCCAGGTTTGAGTTTCACAAGACTTACATCTCATAGAAGGATAATAAACTCTTTTTAAATATTTCTATATACTGTATCCTTAATTAACTAGTGGGATCATGCAAAGTCATTGTTTGAATGATTTATTTAAGAATTTCTGCCTTTTGGGGTTCCTACATTTTGCTAAGTCTTCCAATATGAAAGACCAAATTATACAATGTGAAAGATACAAAAATCAGTAGGGAAAGGTGATTATACATGGGAGAGGCTGCTGCTGGACACAGACCTTGGTCCAAGTATAGCTGTGTGAGTTTTATCAGTCAGTTTTATTGTTTCCCAGATAGAGTGAGATGACAGGGTTTAACTTGGTCATATATCCAATGGCCTTTTCTTTCCAAAAATAGTAGCGGAGAATAATTTATTTACATATCTTGAAAAGAATGTAGAATTTCACATTTATCAATTAGACTATTCTTAGAAACAAGATAAATTAATCCTTCTAATTATTTTCTATTTTTAACTCTGAAAATACTGATTTATAAGACAAGTACCTGGAGTGGGCTTAGACAACCTATGTTGCTTTAAAAAAAAAAATCCTTTATGTAAATCAACAGTGTTGTCAACTATACATACTTAATATCAATCACTGATACTTTGGAAAGATCTGCTATTACTTCTTGAAGCTCCTCATGTAATCTTTCCCCAACTGACCCACAAAGAACTATTTGACTTTTTAAAGACCCACGTGGCTACCTTTTGTGGAAAAGTAAGCCAGACAYATATGAAAACTCCAGCTCTGTCAATGACAATCTAGATTGTGCAGGCAAGTTTTATTAATCTGCTTCATCTTCAGTATGATGGGACTGATTTCGCTGAATATGTTGGTACACACCTGAAATCCCAGCAACTTGGGAGGCTAAGGCAGGAAGATTACCAAGTCTGAGGTCAATCTAAGCAATTTAGCAAGACACTGTCTCAAAATAAACCCCAAAAGGACTAGAGGTACAGCTCCATGGTAAAGTGCCCCTGGGTTCAATCCCCAGTATCAAAGGAAAAAGAAGGGGGAGGCYTCACATTATTTCCTTACCTCCTAGGTTTATGAGGATTAAATTCAGTAACATTTATAAAACCAACTAGGACTATGGCTCCTGGTATACAAAAGTCCCTCAAACAGTTTTCCTGGCTTCATTCCTTTGCTAGCTTGACATTTAGAATAGGAAAAACTGTGGTGAATGGGCCAAAAATATGTTTAAGAGTTCATTCAAGGTAGGATGAGAGATCTAGGGCTTTAAGAGTTTTAAAAGGAATTTGGTTTTCATCTGGTAGATGATAAAAAGATGCCTTAAGTAGACACATTAGATTTTGATGCAGGGAACAGAACAAAGTGTTTCTAAATGATTAGTTCAATCTACACAAAGCTATCAGGTTAGAATTAGGAATGAACTAGAAAAGGAATCCAGCAAGCGAAGACATACTACTTCCTAGAAGAAGAACTATAAAGTAAGTTGAGAATAAAAGAAAAATTTCATTCCTATAACCAAATGTCAAGATATAATTGTTGGAAACTTCTCTGTACATATATTTCTTAAGCTAGAAGATGATCAACCCTGTCARTTTAAACCGAGGTAGAGAACAAGCAACATTTCTAAGTACCAGCTATAGATCATCCGAATAAGTTCTAAAACTTCAAATTCTTGGCTATTTTCAAGTACTGAATCTTATTATCTACAGGACACTAGTTAACATAATGGAAAATGGGCTTTATAGTAATAGGAAAATGCTGAGATTTTCTTACATGTACCCTCAAATTTTAGGATTAATTTTATGCTGCTAATTTGTGAAAGTACCACAGAATTAAAGTTAGCAAAATAAAAGTTAGTGATTAATATTGATTCTAATAGTGTGATAAAGGTTGTGAATCTCAAAGAATGTATTATAGCCCTCTTCATAGGGCCAGCAACACTAATAACACCTGAGAGCTGGTCAGAACCACAGAACATCAGGCTCCATTTCAATCTACTGATGAAGATCTGCAGTTTAATAAGATTCACAGGCAATCTTAAAGAATAAGAAGTACTGCCTTAGAGACTCTTTTGAGACTTGCTCAACTGGTTTTTTTTAAAAGGGTGAAAAATTTCTGAATTATAAACACTACACACTTCAGTCTGAATGGCAATTATCAAGAATACAGGCAACAATAAATATTGGCAAGGATGTGGGGAAAAAGGTATACTCATACATTGCTGGTGGGACTGYAAATTAGTACAACCACTACGGAAAGCAGTATGGAAGAGATTCCTCAGAAAACTTTGAATGGAACCACCATTTGACCCAGATATCCCACTCCTCAGTTTATACCCAAARGACTCAAAATCAGCATACTACACTAATGCAGCCTCGTCAATGTTTACAGCAGCTCAATTCACAATAGCTAACCTATGGAACCAACCTAGGTGTCCCCCAATAGATGAATGGATAAAGAA